TAAGGCCTCATAAAAATTAAAAACAGCGTATTTTTCAAACCGCACATACTGTACCAAGGTACTACAGTATCTTGTTCTGTCTTGAAGATATCGAGTAATTTTGTTGAACGATTGGTAAAAAAAAGGCTGTTCCCCAGAATTTCTGAAGGAAGACAGGAAAGAAAGACCTCTTCCTTTTCTGATCTGTTCTGCCTCTAACTCCCTGCAGTATGAAAGGAATCTGTGCCACTCCTGTCGAAAAATCCCAAGTTCAGAAAAAGTTGTTGAAGAGTGGCCTCATAGGTCGTAGGGAGTGAATTGATTCCACTGAGGCCATCTGTCATGCAGCTAGACAAAACTGCAGAGATTTGGTATCCTACACCAAACCAATTTCTACTGATTGCAGCGATGTCTTTCTTCACTCAAAACAAGCCACTCATAGACGCATTTCAAGCTTTCAGAAGAAAATGTTGAGCCATTACAAAACTGTTGGTTTCTGCATTATAACCTTCGCTGGAAAATGTATACCTTCAGTAGAAGCCGGGAGAAGATGAAAGTTATCTCTTCGATCAAGCTCCCTGTAGCTTTTTGGTTTGACTTGCATGTTATTTTGTCCCAGTAGCTGAGTAGATGATGTGGACAGTCGGTGATGTGCGATGTTGAGCAGGGGTGGATTTCACAGAGCTCATGTCATCGAAACCACATCATGTGGGATTCATGAGATGGGTCATCATGGCTACAGATAATCTTCTTGGACAGGACGCTGCGCTTTCGTTGAAGTGTGCGATGCTTTTTTCCCCGGCAAAGAAGAAATGCTGCAGTCCGATTTAGATTTGAATGATGAATGCTAGAAACCGTATGTATTTCTACACAACTTAGCTGTTGTCCGCCTTATCGATATTCACGTTGGAATGCCCGGTTTATATTAGCACGATGAAATTGAAAGTCGCATCCAAAGTCCTACTCCCAGAATGGAAGAAATGGAATGCAAAGAAACATCCACTGTCTCGCGTTCCAATACGTACGCATTCCCAACTACAAAAATAGATATTAACGACATACTGTGTAGCAAAGAAAGCTCATGCTAAGCGATGGAATTGCCTCTTAATCATTTTCTCTGTGCTAATGAACCTCAGCTCCGAAGTCACTCGGTGTTGCGCAATCGGAATATTGCTTGTAGTCGAGCCATAAAAAAGCGATTGAGCCAAAAACATAAAGTTATCAGGCACAACTTCACGGTCTTGCGTCTCTATGATTCTCTTTAAAAAACGCTTTTTCTGGTGATGGAGACGTGCTGAGCTCGAGATGCCTTAGAATGTCGGATTACCTACCCAAGAATATACTCTCAGCGCCTTTTTCTTCCTACAAAGCTGCGAGAAAACCTCACGCATTGTCACCCTCAATATAGATAGCTCCTAATCTCTAGATTTACTTTACTCGAACTGAACTGGGGGTGAGAACATCATGTTGAGCACAGTACTGCATTGTTCTCCATGTCAGCAAAAGCCTTGCAAAAATTCGCAGATGCTTCATTCATTCCCCACTTTATCATTTTATCGCGAGACAAGGGACTTGCAGGCACTAAACAAATAACTTCTTCTGCGAAACATGGAGAATACGGAACTAGATCATTATGTAATTAGCGTTCTGTAGCATAGGTCAGCCAGCATTGAAGTGGCAATGCATTTCTCCGTATAATTAGAGCACCTTTGAGTGAGAATTAGAAAGCTAGAAACTGCATTTCCAATACTCGCAGTAATCTTCTTCGGCCGCATTAGATACGCTCCTCGCAACTTCGGTTTTACGGAGAGTTGAAAAATCCATCCCACAACCTGCTTCGAGATACCGTAAATTCTCATCTCATCTCGAACTATTTTATGAAAACTGATGGTAATTGTCGGTTTGCTCCGCATAGTAATGGTGGGTTATCTTCGAAAATAAACCCAGAGAAAGGTTCTTTGGGGTGTTTTTAGTGGGATATGATCTCCGTGTAAGACTCGGATTTTTGGCAGAGAGAATCGGTGTTACCTCCATCATACAATCATACTACTCAGCGCTAGCTGTGACCCTATCGCAGTCCAAGGGGTTGGTAGGCAACGACAGGCAAAAGAAAATCAGTTTGCTCCCCATTGTCCATCGAGAAATCCGAAACTGGACGGTTAGTCATTCCGATTTTCTATGACCACCGCGGTTTATGACGCCGGTCTCGCGTTCTAACAAATGTAATTATGTCAAACTGTGTTGATTCCACTGTATAAGACTGTGTCGGGGTGTTCATGGGTGGGTGAAAGCGAATTATATGGCCGTCCCATGCCATTCCGAGACAACGTTATGGGTTCCAACCCCAAACTATGAGCGTCAGCTATTTCTGAATCCACACGCAGTATGCCATGTACCACAGTTTCCGCGCACTTCCAAGTATATTGAAGTTTCGACCCCTCACG